TTTATTTATTTTTTTAGAGAGAGAGAATTTTTTAATATTTATTTTTTAGTTTTCGGTGGACACAACATCTTTGTTTATATGTGGTGCTGAGGATCGAACCCGGGCCGCACGCATGCCAGGCGAGCACACTACCACTTGAACCACATCCCCAGCCCTATTTTTTTCAATATTTATTTTTTAGTTGTAGTTAGACAAAATACCTGTATTTTAAAATTTGTTTTAGAGAGAGAGAAAGAGAAATTTTTTAATATTTATTTTTTAGTTTTCGGTGGATACAACATCTTTATTTTACTTTTATGTGGTGCTGAGGATCGAACCCAGCACCTGGCGCATGCCAGGCAAGTGCGCCACTGCCTGAGCCACATCCCCAGGCCCCCTTTATTTTGTTTATCTATTTTTATATGGTGCTGGCAGGGCTTCGCACATGCGAGGCAAGTGCTTTACCGCTGAGCCACAACCTCAGCCCCAAAAGACTGTTATTTTTTTTTAATATTTTTTAGTTGTCAATGGATCTTTTATTTTTATTTATTTATTTATTTGTGGTGCTGAGGATCAAACCCAGGGCCTCACACATGCCAGGCAAATGCTCTACCACTGAGCCACAACTCTAGCCCGTGGACTATGTTATTTTGAAAATATRTTATGAACATTTTTCCATGATCTGTTTAGTGTTGATTTAAGGATATAGTCTTGGGAAAAATATGTATACTTGGTTTACAACTATATAAAGTTTCATTGGTATACCAGTAACAGTTTTAAAGGATCCGATTCTTTCAAGCTGACCAGATTCTTTGTTTGGATATTTAAGTAACAATATAAAAATATTAAAAAATTGTGGCACATATATCCTACTATTTTGCCTTCGTAATAAAAGAATGGTGAATTGATTCTTAAAGCAGATAGTGAAATTTTATGAGAATATTATATTTTGCAATATTCTAATAGCATAATAATTTATGAATAATTTTTAGAAACCTCTAGGAAAGTTTTTAGAGTGGCCTTGATATGTATAGTCCCTCAAAATGGATGCTTAAAGGATATTATGTATTCTCTGAATTGATTTCTTATGAATTTGATTTCCTTCCTTTCTACAACTGCAGTGCCTATGAGGTCCTTAAGCTAAAGGGGTATACGTCTTGGGCTATTGGACTGTCTGTGACAGATCTGGCAGGATCAATTTTGAAGAATCTTAGGAGAGTGCATCCAGTTTCCACTATGGTTAAGGTAGGCTTAAGTTAAAAATTCATTTATCGTTATTTCATTAAATATTTATTGAGTCTACATTATATTCCAGGCATTGTACAAGATGTTGAGAATATAATGATGAATGAAAAAGACAGAGACTGCAACCTACCTGAGTGTAATGACAGAATGTACACATAAAATAACATATTGTTATTATTGCTATGTTATAAAAATAAACATATAATAACAAATTGTGATAAGTGTTATATTGARAAGCTACAAAGTGCTAAGAATATACCAAAGAAGTTTTAACTACTCTGGTGAAGGGGCATGGTTAGTAGTTAGGAAAGACCTTCCTAAGCTAATAAAATGTGACCTAATTGTAATAATGAGCCAGAATTTATTTGGAAGGCTAGACTTAATATTCCAAGCAGGAGGAAAAYTTACACAGAAGATCTGAGATAGATGTAAGTAGAAGGAACTTGAGGGTTTGAAAAGAAGTTCAGTTACTGAAGTGTGGGGAGCAAGGGGGAAAAGTACGTGGTGAGGCTGGAGAAACCAGCAGTTTCAGGCTACCAAAAGCCTTATATAAAGAGTTTGAGGAGCTGGGATTGTGGCTTAGTGGTAGAGTTCTCGCCTAGCACATGTGAGGCCCTGGGTTTGATTCTCAGCACCACATATAAATAAATAAATTAAATAAAGGTATTGTGTCAACTACAACTAAAAAAAAAAGTTTTGAGTCTTCACTTTAAGARCAATGCAGTACAAGGGCCTAGAAATTTTTATTTAAAAAACATTGGTGTTGCTCTGATGGAGAGAACAGATTTAAAGAAGATAAGAATAGATATTGGGAAACTTGTTAAAGAGGCTATGCTGTATTCTAGAATAGATAGAATGGAAGTAGTAGAGATGAAGAGAAGTGGGTAAATTTGAGATTTGAAATTCATAAGACTTGGTAATAGAGAAAGGCCATTCTTAGGTTTGTGTTTTACACAATGAGCATTGATATTGCTCACCAAGAAGGGGGTATTCAGAGGACTAGGCTTGAAGATTGTGTTTGCAGTTTAGACAAGTTGAATTTGAGGAGCTTTTAATATCATGTTATTAGACTCTTTTGGTTAAAAAAAAGCAGCTCAAAGTAGCACAAATGAAAAAGAAAATATGTTGGGTCATGTAGCTGAAATGCTAAGGAGGCCTGATTCAGGTGCTCAAAAACTGTGTTACAGAGCTGTCTTTTCTTTCCATTTTCTTGACTCATCCTTTAACTTTATTGGCTTCAGTCTTATGTAGCTTTTTCCATGATAAAACAAAAATAGCTCCCAGTAACTGTGGCTTTAGAGCCTGTAATCTAGTCCTCTTTTTGCCTATATTAATTTCCAGATAATTGGACTTTCTGGAATTAAAAACCCACTCATGGGATACCTGTCGGGAGGAAGGCAGTTCCCAAAAGGAAAAGAGAGTTTTGGTCAACGAAAAAAGAGGAAGGAAGTGTTAGACAGATGAAGATATAGATATCCCTTATATATGGTAACTGAAGCTGTGAATTTTATTTTTCTTTGAGACGGGGGTCTTGCTATGTTGCCCTACTGGTCTTGAATTCCTAATCCTCCTGCCTTAGGCTCCTGAGTACCTGAGATGGGTGCACCATCATGCCCTGCTTGATGCTGACAATTTGAATGACATATATAAAGTAAGAAGAAAGAGATTGAGTCTTGAGAAATWCCAGTATTAGCAGCTGAGTTTGTAGTGTGAGACTACAGAAATGTCTAAGAAGTGGTAAACAGAAAATTGATAGATGTAGTGAAGTTTTATAAAAAGATTAAAAATTCTGGCAAGATAAAGTAATAGAGGTCATTGAAAGTCTTAGCAGGAGCTGTTTCATGAAGTAGTACTTGGGATGAAGGCCTGATTGGAGGACACCAGGGTTTATTCAGTCTTGGCATTGTTGACATTTGGGCCACATAATTTTTCATTCTGGGAGTCTGTTCTGTGCAATGTGAGATGTTAGCAGCAACCCATTTATTTATGTTCCCATTTCTTTATTCATTTTCTTTTTCACAATCCATCATGGCAGGAATCTTCTCCCCATTTTGATGCCAGTAGCATACCTCCTTTACTAGTTGTGAAAATCAAAACTGTCTCCAGGGGTTGCAGGGATAGCTTAGTGGTAGAACACATGCTTAGTATGTGTGAGGTCCTGAGTTCCATACCCAGCACCAAAACAAAACAAAACAAAACAAAAAAACAACTTCAGATATTATTAAATGTCCCCTGATCAGCAAAAATCACTGCTAGTTGAGAGCCATGGGAGCTGTTTTGAGGTGTTTGGCAATGAAGGTAAGGAGAGAGAAAGAGCAGTAAGTAGAGAAGAAATTAAGGGTAAAAGAAGTTTGTTTTGGCACTGGGAACTGATCCTAGGGGTACTGTGTTACATCCCCAGTTCTTTTATCTATCTATAATCTATTTATTTATTGGTACTAGGGATTGAACCCAGGGGTACTTAACCAGTTTCTTTCTTTTTGGAGTCTAGGGATTGAACTCAGGGGCACTCGACCCCTGAGCCACATCCCCAGCCCTATTTTGTATTTTATTTAGAGTCGGGGTCTCACTGAGTTGCTCAGCACCTTGCTTTTTTTTTTTTTTTTTTTCTGAGGCTGGCTTTGAACTCACGATACTCTTGCCTCAGCCTCCTGAGCTGCTAGGATTACAGACATGTGCCACCATACTCGGCTCCTTTTTTATATTTTATTTAGAGACAGGGTCTCCTTGAGTTGCTTAGGGCCTCACTAAATTGTTGAGGCTGGCTTTGAACTTGTGATCYTCCTGTCTCAGAAAAGGAGCCACAGGGATTACAGGTGGAGTTGGTTTGTTTTTAAAGATAAGGTCCTGATGATAAAGATCAGGTAAAGACCAAGGGAGAGGTCAAAGATAGAAGTAGTAAGCAGAGGGGTCTGGGGTGACCAGAGCATTGGTGAGGGTTTTAGCCCTAGAAGGGAAGAGGGAAGCTAGCTGTTGTAATAGGAGGTAGCAAGGAGAGGATAGGTCTGATGCATGTACATTTGTAAGTTTGTTGTTGGAAGCATTTAATGATTTCTACCGCTTTAGTGAAAGGAGACAAAAATTCTGATTAGGAAAGGCTCAACGAAGTCAGAGTTGAGAATATCTGAAATAATCTTAGGGAATAATAGGAAATACAATTTGATTTTTAAAAAGTCATGGGCAATACATGACTATAATTCCAGCTACTTGGAAGGCTGATTCTCTTGGACCCAGGAGTTGGAAAACCAGTCTATGTAACATAATAAGACCCCAACTCAAAAATAAACAAATAAATACCTGTTTTCAAAAACCACAGAATTACTATCAGGATAGTTATATTTTATAATATATATTTTATTTTGAGACAGGGTCTAAGTTGCTTAGGTAGGGCCTCACTAAATTGCTGAAGTTGGCTTTGAACTCATGATCCTCCTGTCTCAGCCTCCTGAGTTGTTGCAATTACTGGTGTGCACCACTGCACCCAGCTAAGGAATATGCTTATTTGAGGTTGGTAAGCATTAACTTGTAATATTAAATTTGTAATGTAAATTAAAGATCATCTTTTATAGTTATTTCCAGTAACTAGAATGCACAAATGGAGAAAGCAGATAGCTAAATTCATCTAGGTTTGAGTTTTACTTATGGAGTGTGAAAGGAATGGGAGAGACAGATACATAGACCTAGGGGGAGAGGAAGATGGGTGGGAGAGATGGAGGCGGGGGAGTGTTTGACCTTCTTCTGAAGGATCACAGACAAATTCAGGACCTTTGTCCTTGAATGTGATCTGTATACACATGAATACATTATAAAAAGCAGAGGCCTTTGACCCTAACGGCACCCAAACTCTGGGAGCTCATATGAAAGCTCCAAAAGTCACAGGAGTCAACAGAATGATCAAGGGAAGGAAAGGCAAGTGTGACTATGACCGGAACCTGGCTGAATGGAATGTGGGCTGGCAGTCTGGCAGGACAGTAGCCTTCCATAGCTAGGCACAGACAAGAGTAGGGGGAAATGTGAGAGGGCCTGGTGGCCAGGGGTCCTCAGGGATGACAGTTGGCTGATCTGATGGAGCTCATAAGGTTGGGTGTAAAGAGGCTACCAAAATGATAGAGTATTAGAGAAGGTAGCCAGAGTTCCTCTGTAGGGAGAAGCTACCAGAACAAAACAGGAACAAGGGGTACACCATGTGCTCCGGAGAAAGACCTCAGAAAGGGTAGCATGGCTGAATAGTGCCCATGGACTCTAAGCTAGATTAGGCAGCTAGGAGGCACTGCTTCAGAGGCAATGGACCTGTCCTTTCCCTTGATGGAGATCCTAACAGTTGTTCATTGTTAGACCTAGTGGAAGAATAAGGCTTTCTCATCATCTTCCATAAACACAGCCCCAGCTCCAAGAGAGGAGAGGTGACGGTTGGGGGCAGAGAGATGTGAGAGAGGGTCTAGTCTACTGGGTCTTCTTACCTTCCAGGGGTATGTCTGGTGGGTAATATAAAGGTGGCAGAGGCTAGTTTGAATGCCAGGTATATGTGTGGATTGCCTAGCTGCTTCAGTAGCTTTGGCTTTGGTTGCAGGAGTAGAAGGAACATTGCAGCCACTGACTAGAGGCGCCATGGACCCAGGATAGAGCAGTGGTGTGAGACTGCATCTGTTTCATGGCCCTATCCATCATGGGAGGTTCTAAGTAGGCATAGGAAGAGATGGTGGTTAACGGTGCAGAAGGGCAGGAATATATTCATTGTAGTTGTTAGGGTGGCGACAGGTCTGCTAGTCCTATAAAATTACCTGTAGGCTCCATCAAGGGCTTCACCTATGGGAGCTTGAGATGCCCACCTATATCATCTGTTGTCCAAACTTACTGGTGCCCTTTCCTGAAAAGATAAAAGCAGAGCCTTCCCAGTCACTTTCTGCTTCAGTCTTCTCATTCCTCTCCCCCCACCCCCATTTTGTGCCTAGCCTTGGAAGGCCCCTGTCTTGCCAGAATGTTAGCTCATATCCTATGTACCAACATAGGCTGTTCATTCATTAAATAAAATGACCTCATGAAGGACAGCACAGCATCCTTCCCTTTGGACATAAAGATGACCTAGTATAGGATAAAGAAAATTGTACCTTTCTTGGTCCTTTTAAAGGATTCTGCCTCATGTCATTAAAGTTCCATATGGTCAAAGGACATAAGAGTGAACTTGGTTTTGTTGATAGTCACTGTTGCCCTTTGAGTAATTCTTGTTGAGTGTCATAATCTCTTATAAAGTTGCTTTCCTATATTAGGTTAGTAATCAATAATCTAACCTTGTCTTTCAGGGCTTATATGGAATAAAGGAAGAAATCTTTCTCAGTATCCCTTGTATCTTGGGGCGGAATGGCATCTCAGATATTGTGAAGGTTAAGTTGAATTCTCAAGAGGAGACCCTTCTCAAGAAGAGTGCAAATACACTTTGGAATATTCAAAAGGATCTGGAATTTTAAAGCCTTTTAATGTTCCATTGTTTTATAAAACAGAAAATAGAAGATTGTATATTTTACATTTTGAGAGTGTTCTTATCTGATCTGTAAAGAAATTTAAAAAAATGGAGACCTATCATTTAATTCAATTGTCTCAATGTTAGAAAGAAGAAATAGTGAAGAGATTTTTCCTCTTTATGAATCCCTTATGGCTGTATTCTAATGAGACCCAGTCTTTACAGGTGTAAGTTACAACTTTTGAAAAATGTCATACATGTAAGAATTGCCTTTAACTTTAGTAGAAGATGTATAAAAACTCATTTCATAAAACAGAAGTATTTTTTCTAGTACTGAAATTTCATCCTGTGCTTTCTTCTGTTTTGGTACCAGCACATTCACTCATAGTGCTTCATTAACTCATTAATCTATTTATGATATTAAGTATGAATTTTTAAGACCATATATATCAGAAAAAAATAGAAATATAATTTTATGATGTAAAAAATTTAAGTGAGATGATACATTCAACTCTGCAAATATTATACCAATTTATATAAATTCAAATAGTTGATTTTGTGTCTCTTGAAATATCACATGTGTAGCTTAGACTRTCTTCTGGGTCTTTGTTCAGCAAACTACTTCTGTGTTTGCTGTAGTGTGGTTAGGTGGTTATGATCTCTGCTCCCAAGTATCCACAGTATTTAGGGTATATCAACTAATTGATTATTGACTAGTGGTAGATAACAGTCAATTAGTAGGTTCTTTTGATGGCCAAGGTAGGAGTGCATGTGCTTTTCCTCATTTATTTATATATATATATATATAATTTTCTCATATTATATATATATTATACAATATATATTATACATACACACACATACTGTGTATACATACATACATAAATATATTTGTGAAATATTTCCTTGATTCCCCAAAGAATTTAGGGCAGCTGTAGGAAATATACAATGAAATAAGAACTAAGAAATCAAGACCAAGTGTTCTAGTTTTTCATTGTAGTGACCAGAATACCTGATACAAACAATCTAAGTTGTTCAGGAGGAAAGATTTATTTTGGATTATGGTTTGAAAGATTTCTGTCCACAGTCAGCCAGCTCCATTGCTTTGGGCCTGAGGTGAGGCAGGGCATCATGATGGAAGGGCATGGTGAAGGGAAGCTGCTCAGTTTATGGCAACCAGAAAGCATGAAGAAAGAGGGGCAGGCAGGGACAAGATATGGTCTCCAAGGACACTCCCTCAGTAACCTACTTGCTCCAACCATGTCCCATCTGCTTATAGCTTCTCCTATCTCACCTGTAGTACATTCAACTATGGGTGGATTAATCACTTCCCCAAAATCCCACCTATGAACATGGCTGTATCTGGGACCAAACCTTCAGCACATGAGACTTTGGGGGTGTCAGATCCTAACAATAATACCAAGGTAACTGAAAAGTTAAGATTAGGACAGGAGCAGTAGAAAAAAAAATAGAAGGCAAATATATAGATCCTGAGGACTTGGGTGATTCTGAAGAGAATACCCGTTTGGCCAGGGATTTATGTTATTCCTGCTACCTTCAGTCTAAGTCATCTGTTATTGAATATGGTTAATTTCTCATTATTTTGTCTTTTTTCCTTTTTTTAGTTCTTTCTTTGAATGCATAAAGTATGGTTACAATTTAGTTTGAATAGGGGTTTGAAAGTCAAAGGAAAATAAACGAATTTGAGAAAGAAAGATTACTTCTTCCCATTAATATGTTGAAAATACATATTAATACACTTCCATTGCCGGGTTTGCCTTTTTAAAAAGTCTCTGTTGTACCTTAATTAAAACATCATTTTGAGAAATTCTTATAGAAATTGAAAGGCTGAGAAAAAAATCTATATAATCTACAGGGAATATTCTAGGAAGTAAAACTGCTCTGTATCATGTATTCTTGATTGGACAATATTGTCCCCAAGGGGATGATAATCCTTGGTGGGTGGGGGATAAATAAAAATCTAAAGATTTGACTTGCTCTAAAAGAATATTTTTAAAAAATTAGTATCAAATTTTAAAATTTGTTCTTATTAGTTATACATGACAATAGAATGCATTTTGACAATCATTTATAAATAACTTCTTATTCTTCTGGTTGTACATGATGTAGAGTTACACAGGTCATGTACTATATATGGACATAGGGTAATAATGTCTCATTCATTCTACTTTCATTCCTACCCCCATCCCCCTACCTCTCTCTTCACTCCCCTCTAACCCAAAGTATTTATTCCCTCTTACCCCCCATATTGTGAATTTGCACACACATATCAGAGAAAACATTTGGCCTTTGATTCTTTGGGATTGGCTTATTTCACTTAGCATGATATTCTCCAGTTCCATCAATTTACTGGCAAATACCATAATTTCATTCTTCTTTAAGGCTGAGTAATATTCCATTGTGTATACAGATTGCAGTTTCTTTATTTAGTTCATCTGTTGAAGGGCATCTAGGTTGATTCCATAGTTTAGCTATTGTGAATTGAGCTGCTATAAACATTGATGTGGCTACATCACTGTAGCATGCTGATTTTAGGTCCTTTGGGTATAATCCTAGGAGTGGGATAACAGGGTCAAGTGGTGGTTCCATTTCAAGTTTTCTGAGGAATCACCGTAATGCTTTCCATAGTGGTTGCAGCAATTTGCAGTCCCACCTGTAATGTATAAGCACGTCCTTTTCTCCACTGTTTATTAATATTGCTTGTATTCTTGATAATTGCCATTCTGACTAGAATAAGATGGAATTTCAGTGTAGTTTTGATTTGCATTTTTCTAATTGCTAGAAATGTTGAAAATTTTTCATATATTTGTTGACCCCTTTGTATTTCTTATTCTGTGAAGTACCTGTTCAGTTCCTTTGCCCATTTATTGATATTTTTTTTTTTTGGTGCTAAGTTTTTGAGTTCTTTGTAAATTCTGGAGATTAGTGCTCTGAGATGCATGTGGTAAAAATTTTCTCCCATTCTGTAGGCTCTCTCTTCATGCTCTTGATTGTTTCCTTTGCTGTGAAGAAGCTTTTTCGTTTGAGTCTATGCCATTTATTGATTCTTGATTTTACTTCTTGCACTTTAGGAAGTACCTGACAGAATCTTATTCCTTAATATTTAATTTCATCATGAGGCAGGAGAGAAGAATGATTAGGGGGAAAATGTCTAAAATGCTTTCTTAAATGATTGAGAAACATTGGTACATTTCATGAAAGAAGTTTTTAGATGAGTATTATGTACTGTGATTCACAAATGAATTAGAAAACAATTAGGTAAGAAATGACAAACTAATTAGAACAAACAAAAATCATTTATTTATTTATTTTTTGGGTAGTGCTGGTGATTGAACCCAGGGCCTTATGCATGCGAGGCAAGCACTTTACCAACTGAGCTATATCCCCAGCCCCCCCCAAAATTTTTAAAAAGAAGTAGAAACTTTGGTTTATTACAGACTAAGGGACTAGAGTGACATTTTGGATTCTCCATTTAATTACTTCATAAAATAATGAGTTACATTTTCCCTTCCACGTGTAGAAGTGGCTGTCAGCACTGCATTGATAAGAATTTCATGTCTTCTTCAAGCCTGAAGTAGTTAAAAAAAATAGCCATGAGTTTCCTTTTACCTGTAGTGTTGGTGAAAAATTCCCAAAGGAGAGTTAAAGCTTGTACTGGATACATCACGACAAGGCTTGGTTAAGTTAAAATTGGGAGCTCCAGTGAATGAGTTCTGGACAAGGAGTGCTTCTGCAGCCCACACATACCTTTCAGGTCACTGTGCCTGCTGCACCTTGAGTACAGCCTTGGAACATTTCTGATGCCTGCCAAACTCTGAAAACTCAGCACACCAGTTTCAGGGGCAAGGCAGCTGAAGCCCAGGCTGAGGTGTGGTGCCCCAGAGCCGCCTCCTGGCCTGGCACCTGTGCCAGGTGTGCTAGATAACCACGTGGCCCTGTGAGGCCTGCCCTTAGCTGCCCTTAAGGCTGAGTAATATTCCATTGTGTATACAGATTGCAGTTTCTTTATTTAGTTCATCTGTTGAAGGGCATCTAGGTTGATTCCATAGTTTAGCTATTGTGAATTGAGCTGCTATAAACATTGATGTGGCTACAATGGGAGTAGCAGTGAGGACAGGCCTCAAAAGTTCAGCTGGTTTAGTTCCTTGAGCTTCCATGAGTTTTCCAGCTGTTTCCCCCCATTCTCTTCTTCCACTAATTGACCAGGCTGCTTTGAGCTTGGCTGCAAGAGTCCTGCAGACCAGCCAGAGAGTAGCAGCTTTGGGACATTTTTCTCTTTTGGTCTGTTTTTTTCTACTGCCTGGGGCTGCTTACCATTCACCTCTGGGAATATGGAGGGGAAGTATCATGTATGTGTGTGTACAAGCTTGAGCTTGGGTCTTAGAGCTAAAAGATGAGGGGAGGAAAATGGAGCGGGGGAGATGAAGGAACAGGATCAGGGKTGGGGGGCAGCTGTAGTCTCATTTTGGTGGAGTGGTCCTTTTCCTTCTCTCCCTCTCAACTGTAATTACCTTCCTCCTCATTCCCCCTCCACAGTGGAGCCCAGGAGTTTTCCATAGACTCCCCCTCAGTACAGACCAATTCCAAATTTGGAAATGACTGTGCAGTTTTCATTCACTGTTAGATTTCCAAAATGGTGACCATCAAGAGGGAACTTCTTAAGAATTTCACTTCAGAGGAGGCCATTTATCCAGTAAGATCTCCATTAAAGGAATTGGATTGGTTGGTGTGGCCAGTGCTATCAACCTCTTAATTAAAGGTAAGTTGTATGCTCTGTGCCATAGGGCTGTTTTTCTCAGCTGATGGTAAGACTACCGCATATAATTTTGCTGTGTCCAGTTCAGGGGGTGAGTGGGGTCCCATACAACCCCTGCTAGGTCAGCCTATAAGCAAGTGCACTTTTCTAATTGTTCCAACCAGAGTGTGCTATTTTCTTGATTTTATGGTGGTATCATGTGTTAGAGGCATTTCTGAAATTATGTTGACAATTCACTTTCATTGGTGTGATGACGATATGAAGTATCTTTTTGGTTGATTAGGAAACAGTTCACTAATTTAAAAAACTGGAGAAAAAGTGGCAAAAGCAATATGTTGGTG